AGAATTGGAGTTTTTAGGATCAATGAAGATTTCTAAGATTTACAATAATCTACTAGTTGGATTGAATTTTTTTTTTATACAAGTAATAGACTTGATTTTTAATAACTTTATAAAAGTTAATAGCAATTAGAGTATAACATCAAGAGGTATTGGCACTAGGAAGTTGGCATCAAGTTTGGAAAAAGAGACCCCCCAACATCTAAGTGGATTATGGAGATTATCTTCTATTTGGTAAGTTCAATCTTCTTCATGTTTTTTGTGCTTATTTTCAACTAAATAATAGATATGTATAAAAAAATTGAGTCAAAATTTATAATGAAATTATTTGTTATTGAGATTTTAATCTAATGTAGGATTGACTAATGATTTTTTTAGGATTTAAGATTTGATTAAGATTTAATTAGAATTTAATTTAGGATTTAGAATTTTATTAAGATTTTATTAGAATTGAATTAAGATTTACTTAAGATTTATTTTAGGATTTTATTAGGATTTTTTTAAGATTTCATAAGAATTATTTTAGAATTATATTAGAATTTGATTAGGATTTACTTAGATTTTGGTTAGGATTTTTTAAATTTTTTTTAATATTTCTATATTTAGTACTTTAAATTATTTTGATATTTCTTTTAGATTTTTTATTAATTTTTTAGGTTTTTTTTTGTAAAGTTCTTTATGATTTCTTTAAAAAATTCTTTAAGATATTTTTATGTTTCTTTTATAATTTCTTTAAGAATTTATTTGGATTTGATTAAGATTTGATTAAAAAAATTGAAGTTTAATTAAGATTTATTTAGAACTCTATTAGGATTATTAAGATCTTGTTATTACAATTTCTAATTTATTTTTCATAGCCAAGTGCTTGATGCATTCTCAAACAAAACTTTGTATAATATAACAACACATCTCTTCTAATTATTCTCTAGTAACTAGATTTTAAAACAATTTACATGTAGATATCTTATCTTTTTATTCTTGATCTTCAATCTTTGGATACTATTCATCTGTTCTATTTATCATATTAAGTATAGATTAAAGCATGTATTAATGCTTGATACTATTTAATGAGCATAAGACTTTAAATAGATGAAGTATAAATTATAACAACTTTCTTAATATCAAAAGACATAAGATAAGTTTTATTGTTGAGCATACCTTGCTTGAGTAAGTCATCTGAAGGAAGGATCTAATCAATTCCATTGTTATTCAATCTAAACCAATAATTGTTCTTGTACAAGGTTGCAATTGATAAGAATATAAGACATTTTCTACAAACCCAATGTATGTGCTTTACAATTGTAAGAATGTATTTATTTATTTATTTATTTTTGATTTAAAACTATGAGTTGCATCCTACTTGAATCTTGTAATTTGTTGATTCTACTACTATAGCACCAAAGTTGGATGGTTGCATTTTCATTGAAGTTGAGAAGATTACTCCTATCTTCTTAGATGTGTATATTTGTTGTACTATCAATGCAAAGATAATGGCATAATTGAAAAAAAAATACAATTATTGTTTGTGACTATCATGATACTTCTTGAATTAAGAGAACAATAATATTAGCACTTATTGTATTACCTCTATTTGTTGTATGAGACTTTACATCACTATGCTAATGTCCATTTTTTTTGCAAGTTCTAAAACTACTTCTAGACTTATTAATCATTGGTTTTTGCTTATGTTGTAGATGATGATTCTTCAAGGATTATTTCACTTCTTCATGCATTACTAAGGTAAAAAATATAGAGTTTTTTTATTTTTTTTATTTTTTTTAAGCATTTCTTTCTCAAAGAGTATAGATCATACAACTTCTTTTGTAATCTCTTCTTGTTGCTTTAATGCAATTGATGAAAAAAACAAATTCTATGACTCTAGCAATGCAATAAGTACAAAAAATGCCAAACTTAGTTTGTTTCTTTAACCATCAAATTAAATGTATTAATCTCTAAAGTTAAAGATTTTATCAAGAAATTTTTTTATAGATTTTCCATCAACATATCCAAGATTGTTACTTAAAATGCTCTAATTAATGATCCTAGATGGCTTAGAGATCTTAGCTAAAGCATCCCACATATCTTTTACTAACTTACGTTTATGTATGTATATTAATTATAAATACTTGACATTGTAGGCAATCAATACTTGTACTTCCGCCTCACTTAACTCTTATTTTGATTCTTGATTTGTACTTGTAGCACATTCTAAACTAACAAGGTTTGTGATCTCTTTCATTTTTACTCTATCTCGCTTTTTTCCTTTATCTCTATGTTGCCATCTTATCAAATAATAAAAAATTCTCTCTAATGGAATCCATTTGTTGTTTGTTTGCTTTATATGCAATTATTTGTGGATCTTTGTATTTTTTCTATTTGTGTAACTTTTATGCATTGCACAAAATTGATTAATTTTTTATATTTTTTTTTATAAATTGTTGCTATTTATTATAATGTTGGCTTAATATGAATATACTTTACATACTATAAGTTTGTAAATAATAAAAAGATTTATGTTTATTACTCTATTTTATTGTTATTTTAAATGAACATATAATTTTTATTTATTTAATATCTAAGATTCATGAAATATTTTATGTGTTGTATTATAAAAATGTATTTATTTTTCATATGACTATTTTATATATTTTTATCATTGAGACAATTCTAAATCAGCCATTTTACACAAACAAGGTAAGAATGTTAAATTTTATCAAGAGACTAAATAGTGCCAATATTGATATTTAAAAGAGAAATAAAATTAACTCCTTTTTTATTGTATTTTATAAATATCTATTATATATGAAAAAAATTAGAATCAATAAATTCAAATAAATTATTATAGTGTTTGAATGAAGGATGTAATGCCAATCATTAAATATAAATATAATTGCTTATATATTTGATAAAAATACAAATAAAATTACAAAATATTAAAATTAAAAAACATTGCATATAGTTAAAATCTATGTATTTTTTTTAAAAATAATAATGTTACTTTAAAAAATTATAATAATCTATTATAGTAAATATTTTACAAAAAAGTACTTAAAAATATTTTAAATTTTAGTAAATATATAAAATCAAATCAAATCAAATATAAGTGCTACTTAAAGGTATAGTAATACTTTAAATACAAAAGATTGAAAATATACATACATGTGACATACCTTGCAAACTTAACATGCCAAATGTAATATAAAAAGCATACCACTTAATTGTATATTGATATTGATATTAAAAATTTGATTGTGATTTTTAATAAAACCATTTAATAAATTAAAATGTGTTGACTTACAACCAAATCACCACTACAATTATACACTACTATGTTTTCTATTTCTTTCTGAAATCATAAAGTGAATTTAATAAAAAGTTTATTAGAATAGAATCACACATTCTAAGTTAAATTTAACAAAGTTATTTCAAGCAATTTATAATTTATGTGCTCATCATCATTATTATCATTATTTTTGCAACAGTACATAACATTGTGGTTATTTAGAAACCTGATGCAGAATACTAACCTAATCATCATTTAGTTTTAATATTGAAAATTTTAAACATTATTTAAACATTTTTATGGACCTCATTAATATTATAATACTTTAGATTCTTTAATCTTTCCTCATGGACAATTTATGCATGAAACCAACACAACTAATGGACATCATATATTTTTTTTGTTTTTTTCTGTTTTTGTGAGTCTACGCGTGTCTTAGTCGATTTTTTTGCGTGTTTTTGTGTATATCTTGTTGCATGAAAGACCTTCACCCAAGTAGCTATGGCGGACCTCGACGGCGCCGCGACTGCTTAAACCCAATCTCCAGAATCACGATCAGTGCGAGACGTTAGAGCATATGAATTCCCGACTTTATGGATGTTTCGGTTCCTTCCTATTCGCTGGCTTTGAATGATTGAAATTGCTGCAGTCACCGAGAATTTCTCTAACCGGCAGTTGCAAATGCGCTGCGACAGAACGGTGTAGTGAAGCTTGCGATCGTGACGCGGAAGGTAAGGGAGTTCACTGCTGCGTGACTTGATGCGTGCTCAATTTTGTTCTGGTTTTGGGACGTTTACTCGCATATGGTCCTGTTGGTTGCCTTCTGTGTGATTGCGGTCGCAAGAATCGTCTTCGTTGCGACGGGAGCCGATCGAATATTTCTTCTGCGATGTGGGTTGTGTGATTTGATGCAGTGACGTGCATCTTCTTGAAGTGGGTCAGCGGAGGTTGATTTTGAGACAATCTACTCTCTGTCACCTGAACGCTCTTCTGTGCATTCATATTAGATTGGTAGTTGTGTTTCTTGACCTGACAGCGGGAAATATGCGCGAGATCTGTAGGTTACTGGGAGCTGAGCTAAGGAATCAGCAGATGGAGGTACTTCTATTGCTCTGGTCGACTATTTTACTCAAACTGGCTCTGGCCGTCTCGAGAACAATCGTAGTAACAGTTTAATATAGATACAAGTCCGTAGCTCTTCACGTAGTCTGTAACAGTAGCGGCCATTTGCCAGTTAATCCTTGTGGAAAAGCACCGATGTCAGCAGTTGCAACAGGTCGAGTCATGTTGTACCTTCACAGATTATAACACATCTTTTTATATTTCAGAAAATATATAACAAGTATTGTAAGATTCTTCGAAAATCTGGTTTTAAAACATCAAAGTAGTTCCACTTTATATCCTACCCTACTATGTGATACGAGAACTTAGCTTGGTCCACTCTCCATCCCAGTTGTGATAAAGTCTTTGATGCTGAAATGGCGCTCGATTTTGTCAAACCCAATTGACAACAGTTCTACGCCTTGGCAACGTGAGTCTCTGCCAATTGACTTGATCAAGCATGCCCATTATGTGTGCGTGTTTCCATCTCTATCCCTTTACTAAGTGGAGGACTGTTGGTACTTCTGCAGTTTCAGATGCTGGTTTCGGCGAAACTGGTTTGTAAGTTAAACAACTGGTTCTAAAAATTCACAAGAAAAATTACATACAAACAGTGTACTGAAACATAAAATCGGTGAATATCTTCATTCTAACTGTTGTTGTAGCTACTCAATAACATATCATTACATATGCATATTTTTAACGCAGTAAAATATTCTAATGACATTTCTCAAACGCTATGTGCAACAAATACGATGCATGGACAAATTATAGGCGGATGATTTCATGTTCATTGCCGCTACGAATGGATGACTGCGAACCCACACGCGAAGCATGAAGCGCGAGGAGGTGGTGGACCTCTCGCGACGAACGCCGCGCAGAAGAAGCATCCAACGATGCTTATGACAATGACGTAACCACCGGCAGCTGGTACATTTGCTCTCCATTCCTGGTCACCTTCATGATTTCAAGTAGGAGCCATTCTACCCCAAGAGCCCAGAATTGAGTTTCAGATTTACGGTGGTTGCGTTGAACAGTCTAGATTCCAAACAACTGTGCATGCGTCGGAGAAACCGAGATCGTCAACGAACGGAGATGAGATTGTTTGAGAAGCAGTAGGTTTTAGATTCCTCTGTTTGAGACTGACAGATCCAGTGTTTTGGTAGTCAGGGGTGTGGAGTTCACTCAAAGGGTTGATAGAGTTCAGCTGCTCCAAGTCTTTGTCTTCAGTGACAGTACCTTGCTCATCACGAAATTATGTGTTTATAAGAAAGATACAAGGCTGCGAGAATCTCGTCTTAGTGTGCCACTCTGCAACTTCAACCAAGCATCATTAATCAACCTAGAACTGTTCATTTCAGCAACCTGTTCGTTGCGTTGAACATGGTAATGTAGACATGGCAATAATATGAAGTCGATCAGATGCTGTCATCGTAATGAGAAAGATCAAATATCTGAAACGCATAGACATCGCCTTGTCCCGAGGTGAAGTGGTATTCATCAAATTGCTTGAGCGGCACCAATAAGGTTCACCTCCCTTGTGACAAACTCAGTTTCCAGATATTACATCGCAACGTTTCTGTACTATGCTAAAACAATGGCAATACTTTTGACTACTTGGAGTATCCGGTACCGAATAACGATTCTTAAAGCACCATACTCTCCATCTTTCGTGTCGTGACTTCCATTCGAACTGAAGTCCACACATTCGATGCTCTCTGAACAGATATAGCCACTCTTTGGAGAAAAAGTTGTGACCAATCCTCAGAGAAGTTCAAAGGGCTTATAGAATTCGGGATGGTGAAACTGCAGAAGCCCATCTCATGATTAATTCATGTTTTGTGATTGGCAACGTTAGACGAAACACTCAATAAGTGACTCAAAGCACATGTTTAAGCAACGCAATGAACAAATTCTCACCTTAAGAGCTCATCCTCATCATATGTTAATTCGCCAGCTTTTTGTGGGGACGAATTCAAAAACGTACTGCATCATTGGAAAACATAAACAATGAGAGTTTGTGAGCCGAGATTTCAAGTCGTTCAAATGAACACAAATTTTTGGATGAGAATTGTACAAACCTGCTTATTAAAACTTGGTGAAGCTGTACTGGTCCGCTGGTAACACACCGCCCTGCCTTAGATGTGTTCTCTTCCTTGAAGTAATACACTACTGGATAGCCAAGCAACCATCTGAGAAAAAGAAGAAGCGAATGCATTAATGCACCAGAAACATGACAGGGTGAGAGACAGTTTACATGTTGCAGCATGAATTTCAGGTCGAAGGTAAATTGCAAACGAAGTCACGAGGAAGAAAAAAAAGATAAAAATAAATCTCAGGTAACAAAACGTACCCATTAAGAGTGGGCAACAGTATACCAGAACCATTCGTGATCCCTGCTTCTAGGACACTGGGGGCTGTTTCTACTGGAGCCTCTGCTGAGAGATTCTCCCTTTTGAATTCTTGGGAATCATCAAGAGAACAGGAACTGACGTTTTGAGCCAAGAAAAGAGATGACAGTTTTTGCTGAATTTCAAGGAGGCTCTGTACAATTGCCTCGTGTTCAACTTGAGATGCTTTCTGTCAACCATCAAAACTTTGATCAATCCTCCAATGCCTCGTCTGAGCGCTTAAGTTTCAGAAGCAAATACCGATCGATTCATTAGTTTGTTGGAAAACACTCCGACTGTCGAACGAAATGCTATCAAACGCACCCGAGGAATGTCATCATCGAGAACGACAAACAGAAGCTGTGGCGGAGATTGCAGACTTCGATCCATGTATTCTAACATATAAGAAGGGTGGATCAAATAGCCACACTCTTCCATGTGCAGCACCCGCAGAGCTCCTACCTCATTCCATACCTGCACAGCTTTCCCTGGATTTCTCAAACAGCTCCAGTAGAAGAGGTATAAGAATCGAACACGAGCGGCACCTAAGGTACAGCTTCAGATGTAAAATTTAAAACCTAAAAATTCTTTAGAATGTTTGTTATCCTGTCGCAGATAAAACATTGGAATACGGAGACTGACCACAAGTTAGTAACCAGGTCAAGAGATGCCAAAACCTGGGATAGATAAAGTAGAAGTTGGCACACTTGTTGTAACATTTGTGGCGTGCATGATATGTAATCAAGCATCACAGCAGCGCGCACTCCTGTACTTAACGCCATGACATCTACCCAAACACGTGAAAACGTCAAATTCTATCCACCGTTATGTGCCAGTTGACACTGAAACCAAAAAATCTTACGAAACATTTCATCTGACAAAACCCCTAAAACCCAGCTAAACCCTACACGTCCCAGAAATTCCATATCAATTCGCAGATGCCGCTTCAGAACTGGAACGTAAAACCAGTTCTGAAGCGGCATCTGCGAATTGATATGGAATTTCTCACTTAACAAACACGCAGCATTCTCACTCAACAATCGGACATCAAATCCGCCTCCGACCCACCAAAGCCCTCCAAAACCAAACATGAAAACCTCCTGCCTCTCACCCCGCGAGAGGGCCATCCCAAAATCCTACAACTATTATCAGCTCCACGATCCCGCACCCGGTTCATTCGAAAGGAAATTTTATGCAGCTTCGTGCATTTGGGATTGTCTGCAAAGGAGTACCTAAGGCCAGGCGACGGCGCACCGATGCCCGAAGCCGGATCTTCAGTTGAGGAAGCAATTGCTGCAGCTTCGGCAAGAGCTCCCTCATCGCTGCTTCCTGAGAGTTCCCTCCCCCCAAACTGACTCAATCGAACCGTCTTTCTACCGCATTTCACTCTCAATTCATGCACAGAACTCGCATAGGAGCCTTGCCGAGATGTGGCTCAAAGCACGACCAAATAAGGACGAGTAAGAGGCTGACGATTCGGCGTTATGGGTCTTGCACCAACACTCTTGTTTCTTCTCAACCTCACACGAAAGCTGTAACCCAACTCGGCAATTGCGTGACCAGATCGTCGGAACACAGCGATGACGTTCAACGATGGCGTCGAATCCGCCACGCATGAGCGCCGAGGAGGCTCCGCCATTCACCTCACAACTCAGTTTTCATCGATTCCATTGCCTTAGTCTCTTCGGACATGTGTGTATATATATATTTTTTGCAATTACCACCATAATCCGTCATCCACCACATGTTCCTCACATCCTTTGTAAATGTTACTAATATATAAAAATAAAATAAAAAATGATAGATTTTTTAAAATAATTATGGAATTATTAAGAATTTTTTTGATTGGAACATAAGGAAACTAAATAAACATGTTGAATGGATGGAGATTATGGTTGTAGTAGCAAAAATTGTGATGGCATTAACAACATCTATAATTTAATCCTTACATGTTTTATATAAATATATGTGAATCATTGTTTTGTATAAATGTATGTGAATCATTATATTAATAGCAATCACTTTTAAGAGATATTTTATTTTTGTTGAGAGCATTAAATGTAGCTGACGCTCTCCATACTATTTATTGTAGTTTACAATATATATTGTCGCTATAGTGTTTAGAATGTAGTAGAGAGACATTGTTTATCTTCTCTCCTTCTCTTTGTATAAAGGATATAATCCTATCAATAAACTCACTTCTTGTGTATGTATTTACATATGTGTGCATATTACTTCTAGCTACTATTGTCTCTCTTTTTCTAAAAAATCTCAACACATTATCAATACAATTGCTTTTATACTCTAGTCTTAGTTCTTAGTTCTTAAAAACCTTTACTTTTGTAAAAAAATTGCCACGCCCTAACATACCATGCTGCAGATCTTTATTTTTGTGAAAAAAAAAAAAACAAACAAACAAAACAAAACAAAAACAAAAAAATCATAATTTTTTTTTTAATATTTTTGATTTTAAGTTTCAACTTTATCATTGCATTTGTCTTTACATTCTAAGGTACATTTTACTCAACCTTTTCTACTTGAACTGATATTTTTTTGTTCACAGATTTATTTATGATGAGTATTTTAACATCCTCAACTACCTCTATTATGTTTCCAACTATCACTATTGTATCCCAAAATTTTCAAGCTCTTCTATTTCTACCATTGGTTGCTAATAGAAACAATTATCTATTATAGGCAAAAATAGCAAAAACAAATTTATTTCCATAACAACTATCCGATGCAATTCTATTTGAAGAATCTCTTACTATAAGTACTTCAATTCCTATTGCTATTCGTTAGATAGTACTTCTTCTCTTTCCTCGACAATTTGTACCTGCATTACAACATCAATATTTAGAAATGGAAGATCCAACCAAGCTTTGGGAGAATCTTAAATCTAGATTTGATCATCAAAAGACCATTTTCCTTCCATGTGCATGTCATAATTGAACACATTTATGTATCTTGGATTTTCCAAATTTAAATGCTTTCAACAATAAAATGTCTCGTATTGTTTCATAATTACAATTATGTGGAAAAAGCATCTCTAAAGAAGAAATGATTGAAAAAACTCTCTCTATATTTCCTTCTGCATGTGCTCTGCTTGCACAATAATATATGGATATGAATTTTCAAAGTCATCTTGATCTCATGTCCTATGTACTTTTTGCGAAGAAACAAAACAAGCTACTCTTACATAATGCAGAAGCTAGTCCTATTGGAACTATAGTTCCAGAATCTCATGTACTTAATATTCTAAAGTCTAAGAAACAATTATACAAACATGGAAAAAATGCTCATAAGGACCAGGTCAATTATGGTTGTGACCGTTTCGGCCCATATCGAAAGAATAAATGTTCTACAACTAATTATAGTAGAAAATAAAAATCAGAGATGAGTTCTCGCCATAAATGTAGAATGATTGGACATTCGGCACATGTGTGCTATAATTCAAAATACTTTGTTAAAATGTTCTAAGAAAATAAGAAAATTCGAGGTGAGGCTCGTAAAGTTCATACTATGGATGCATCTATGGATTCAATTGGTGTTGATGATTTAGAGGCTTATATGAATGACAAAACCTCTAATGATGAATCAAATGATGCAGTCATTGATTCTGCAACAAGACATACTATCTTGCAGGATAGATGGTTTTTTATTGAAAAATCTTCAATTTGGTAAATTAGAAATTTGATGACTATAGTTGGAATGAATGCATTTCGTTTCCAAGAGGAAATAGCAATGGTAAAATTGCCTACACGCTTTATCATAAAATGCAAACATGCAATGTTTGCACCTCCAGCACCTTAGAGTCTGATCAGCTACAGGGATGTACATGCCAATGGCTATCACCTTTCAACTGCAATTTTAGATGGGTGAGAGGTTTTGATTCTTGAAGAACACCATGAAGTTGTAGAAAAAGCCTATATTGTAATAAATGGTTTATATCAGATTGCAATCTGACCTCCTATTATATTTAATTTTATATCATTTATAACATAGAGTCGCATTTCTCTTTGGCATGGATAATTGGAACATCCAAGATCCACATTATTTTGGAAGATAATTCCATGTATAACTAAGCATAATTTAAAACTTGCAAATATAGATTCTATATAATTATGTCATGCATGTGTGCAAGGCAAGATGATTGTTTGGCCTTCAATTTGAAAACTCCCACAAGAATTACCACCAATGCTTAAAAGGTTGGATGGTGATATTTGTTGTCCTATTAATCCAACATCTGAATTATTTTGTTATTTTTTAGTCCTTGTTGATGCATCAGGCAAATAATCACATGTTTCATTATTATCATCTTGAAACATGATATTTGCTAATCTTATATCTATGCTTATTTGTTTTTGAGCACATTTTCTTGATTATCCTATCAAAACATTACATATGGCTAATACAAAAGAATTTGCATCAAAGTCCTTTGAAGGTTATTGTATTGCAACAGAGATTGAGTTGACATATTGTATTCCATATGAACATGCTCAAAATGGACTTACAAAGTCATTTATAAAGCATATTCAAATTATTATCTCGCCACTCCTTCTTCTTGCAAATTTACCTACATCTATGCAAGATCATGCAGTTTTACATGTTGCAGCATTAATATGCCTCCATCCTTCTTCTCTTGAAATTATTACATTACAAAAGCTCATTTCAAGATGTGTTTCAAATATATATCACCTACGGATATTTGGTTGCTATATTTGGATTCCAATACTAGAACCTTAATGGCGTATCATTGGAGCTCATCGATGAGAAGGCATATATGTTGGTTTTGATTCACCAAGTATTATTTGTATAGTTGAGCCATCAACTCGCACATTATTACATGCATGTTTTTAAAATTATCATTTTGAAGAGAACGTATTTCTATCTCTTCTAAGAAGAATATTTAATCAACAAAGAAATACAATATTTACATTTGGAGTATCACAAATATTTATAATGAATCTTGATCCTTAAACATCTTTGGCTAAAAGTGAAGTTTCAGAGATTTTATATCTAAAACGGATTACAAATGAAACACTTAATGGCTTCAATGATGTACCTCAGATTACAAGAGTTCTAATTAATGAGGCTCAAAATGAACTTACTTAGATTACAATACCACTAACAAATATACCTTAGGTTAAAACATCAACAATTAAAAGGACTTGTGGATTAGATAAGCAACCATAAAAGAAAAAAAACTATAATATGTTGTGATTTTGGTATTGTTTTTGGAAGTTCCTACTAAACATACGAAACCATCAATTAATGACAATATGTCTATGCACATTATACCTTTATCTCACACTAGAGTAAACTTTGAAATTAGGAGGAATAAAACCAAGTTGGATACAAAATTATCTGTTCTATATTGAGCTATAAATGACCTTTGGAATAGACCATCTATTATAATAGATGAATCATTTGCATTCATGATGGCAAAAGCTCTTTCTTACGAGAAAGAGGATCTTGAACCTTAAACCATTCAGGAAGCAATGCATTGCTCTAATTGGTTAAAATGGAAAACTACCATTTAAGAGGAGTATGCTTCTTTGCGTAAGAAAAAAGTCTTTGGTTCAATTGTGGATACTCTTACTTCTCACCTTGTGAGATATAAGATGGTATTGATATGCAATCGAGATGCTAAAGGTCAAATAATCTACTACAAAGCTCATCTTGTTGCTCGAGGATTTATCCAATAGTTTGGCATTGATTATGAATCCACATATTCTCTAGTTATGGATTCAATTATATTTCAATATATTATTGGAATGGCAATTCATGCCACCCTTGAGATGTGTCTCATGGATGTGATAACTACTTATTTATATGGTTCACTTGATGCAAATATTTATATACAAGTTCTACCTTCTTTGAAAACAAAAACTCCAAATGCACTTTCTCTAGGATAATATTGTGGTATTAAATTACACAAGGCCCTGTATAGTCTAAAACAATCAAGACGCATGTAGTATCAATGTCTCCAAGTTTACTTAATTATAAATAAATTTGGAAGTGATCTACTAATTCCTTATTTATTTATTTAATGAAATAAAATTGATTTTGTAATTATTGCTTAATATGTTGATGATCTTAATCTAGTGAGTACTAGATCTGCATGTGTTGCAGCTACTAACCTACTTATATGTGAATTTGACATGAAAATGCTATAAAAAATAACTTTTTGCATTGGTCTTCAGATTATGCATGTCACAGATGGTAGCATTTTTTTCTACCAACTAATATATATTAGATTAATCTTATAGAGATTCAATATGATTGATGCTTATTCATTGTCCACACCAATGATTAGACGTGGTGGTAATGGTCATGATCCATATTTTTTGTACTAGGAGGAGGAAGAAATAATAGGAGAGTAATATCCATATCTTGTAGCAATTGGAGCACTTTTATATTTAGCAAAATCTACCAAATCAGATATTATATTTGTAGTTAATGTTCTTGTAAGACACAGTGCACGTCCAACACTACGACATTGGAATGGCATCAAATATTTACTATGTTATTTAAAAGGCACTGAAGATTTAGAATTATACTATACATGACCTACAAAACCAAAATTAGTTGGATATTCTGATGCAGGATATAAATCTGATATTGCAATAGCTAAATCTCAAATATGCTATGTGTTCTTAAATCATGAAGCTGCAATATCAAGGAAATCAGTGAAACAAACTATAATTGCAACTTCATCTAACCATACAAAAATTATTGTCTTACATGAAGTATCTCAAGAAAGTATTTGGTTGCGATCAATTGATAAACTCATTCAAACAATATGTGGATTTTCATATGATGATTCTCCAATCATCTTATAAGAAGATAATAGCACTTAAGTTGCACAGATATAAATTGGATTCATTAAAGGAGAGAAGATAAAGTATATTGATCCAAAGTATTTTAGTTATATTCATGAATTGATTATTAATGAAGTACTTAAGATCAAGAAAATTGAATTTTCAAATAACCTTGCTAATCTCCTCACCAAAGTTCTCCCTTTGTATAACCATCACTAACTTACTTATAGCATTAGCATGTAGAGACTTACTTTTCTAAAGCAAGAAAGTTAATGAACTCTTGACATAATATTGTATTCTTTTTCTTTTATCTATGGTTATGTCCTTAAATATAATAAGGTTTTCCTAGATTAGGTTTTAATGAGACAGTAGTTGTTAATCTTATGAGATTACAAAAAAAAATATAGATCATAATTCTATACATATAAATATTATGACAGGCGAAGAAGAAAGTTGAGAGCATTTAATATAGTCGGCACTCTCCATACTATTTATTGTAGTCTACAATATTTATTGTAGCTACAGTGTTTGGAATGTAGTGGAAAGACACTATTTATCTTCTCCCCTTCTCTTTGTATAAAGAATATAACTCTATCAATAAACTCACTTCTTGTGTAGGTGTTTCCATATGTATTCATATTACTTCTAGCTACTGTTGTTTCTCTTTTTCTAAAACATTCTCAACAATTTTGCATCTATTTGTTTGAAATATTGTAATATTTTCTAATAAAGTATGTATTAGAGATACAAGTTGCTTCATGTTTATGATTGTATGTAATTATTATATATATATATATATATATATATATATATATATAATTATTTGCCTAAAATTAGAATATGATTCAAAGTAAGTTTCAAGTCTTAGATACCAACTTTCTTAAATAAAGTATGCAATGTGAAAAGGACTTGTGCTGAGAATAGGAGTTGCTATAAGAGTGAAGCAAAAGGGTTGAAATAGGACTAGAAATTGCTACAAGAGTGACAAAACTTTTTCAAGTTTAAAAATGCATTACAAACTTCTTTAGACAAATTGTCTTAGATAATTTATTTTATTTTATTTTTAGGAATGTATGTATTATGCCTAATATGTATATATATATATATATATATATATATATATATCTATATATTTAGGGCATATCCTTATATATATATATATATATATATATATATATACATACATACATACATATTGCCCTTCATTACATTTGCATTACTAATTGTAATTTTGAACATAATATATAAAATAAGAAGACCAAAACATTACTTTGATTCATTGCAATTTGTGTATCCTTTCTATTTTTAAATTTTAAAAGTATGTTTTTAGAAGAACTGTGATTATTTCTTTTCTTTATTTAATATCTACAAATTGCGAAAAAACTCTTTTGAATTCTACTTGGAAGGTTGTACAAGCACATTTCAAAATTTTAACAACTTAGTAATGATTAGAACTGCTATTCAACATGTAAAATTTGGAAACAAAAACTGTAAAAATTCATGCAATATTATTCCAACTGTGTCAACAAAATTAATATAACTAGTTATTAGATGTTCACATTTATAGCATTGAAATTTGAATACATGCCTCTACTACAGTCTAATTTCTTATATCATTTATGTATATATATGTATATATATATTTCCACACACACAACATTTAAAAAATCAAAAAATCAAATTCATGCATGTAACAGGTTACAATAAATAACTGTTATTCTTCACCTCATGACCTCATCACGACAAATAACCTAGAATATTAATAAATATATATATTCGTATTAAAAATTTAATATAAAACGAAGAGGAAAGGATGGCAACAATTAGGTCTTCTATTCCTGTTATTACTAATGAACTCTTCTGAGAATAAACTCATGTGTGATAAGAGACATTTGCAACACTATGAACAGACTTAACAGGACATTGATAGCATTCAGCAAAAATGCCAAACGTTTCAATTTGCTTGATGAAGTTAGTGACACTCGCCCACCCTCCAAAGCCAAGGCCAACCACCAAAATCCACACACATAACACTATGTTTCCTCCGTACACAGCCGTCCAACTCGGAAGAAAACGTGGCGGCTTCTCCACAGAGCTCTACCAATACACATCAAAACACTTGTAAAACAAATAAAAAAAACACATAAAATACACAACTTTAACACAACTTTGCAGCATATTCAACATCACCATCCGAGAAACATAACTGAAAAGTGCATCGAAAACTTCACCTCATGACCTCATCACGACAAAACACGTAAAAGAAAAGAAAAAAAACAATTTTTGGATACGACAGAAAAAAAAGGGAAGAAAAGAATAGCAAAGGCCCTGTTTTGGAGAAGGAAGGGGGCTTTGGTTGGGGTGCAGACCTGTCGCGAGGCGGCGGAGCGATAGAACGCCATGTGAGCCACGCACGGGATGATGTACACCGTGAACGTCACCAGCAGCGCGCCGACCATGGAGTTGATGGGCCCGAAGAACGGAAACGCGATGGCGAAGAACCAGATGGGCACCATCACCGGTGCACGGCACAGCGCCCTCACCACCCACGCCCTGCTGCTGCGGTGAACCCCCAACATCTTCTCCCACATGATGTACAATGGCGTCACCGCGAACCCCACCGTGATGAACTGCACACCCAATGGCATTTGCACACATCCCACCCCACCCCACCGCCCCGCTGCTTCATTAGCATCAGCATCCTTGATGGATTCTTCTCACAGAATTGACGATGGACACGACGACGACGTGTGCGGTGAGTTGCGAAGTGGGGCACCTGGTGTATGAGCATCAGCACTACCGCCACATCGCGCGCGGCGCTTCGTGGGAGCAGCGACAGGGCGTTGGCGTGCGTGAGAAGTGTATCTCCGAAGGCCCAGTACACTGCCACTGCGGAGGGGATTGTCAGCGTGAACACGTACAGCGTCGCCAACAGGAAAACGTACTTGAACTTGCTGGGTTTGTACATGGCGTGCATGATCTCCCTGGCAATAGTAATTAGGAAGTTTGAGGGCCTTTTTTCTCTCTGAGCCTCAGTGAGTGACAATACAAAATTGCTGGAACAAAAATCGAGGAACGATTGGGATGAAAACCGTTGAGAGAGGAGCAGGAGGAGGAGCTCCCTTTTTTACTTACACTGTCACAGCGTGGCTTCCAAAGGTGTAGAGAATGTTGGTTGCTCCCGTGAAGTATAAAACCCTCGACACGGGGCCATTGTGCGTTACGCCAGAGGTCTGGAAAACATATTCAGGAATGCAGGAAGGAATCTATCAATCTATAAATCACCCGACCAGTTCAACTGCAAGTTAAGAAAGTGGTTGAGGATGCGAGTCGGTTCTAAAGTTTGAATGGTTTTACCTGGCCATATATGATGGATGCAATCGTCATATACCACGCTGTGTAAGTGATCATAATGAGTCCGAAGAAGGACCAAATGCGGTAGTTCTTAAACGATGGAATGAAGATGGTCAACATCGAGACGGCTCCGAAAATATACGTCCATTCTCGCTTGTTTATATGATCATTGATCAGAAATGTATTGCTGCATGCACAGGGATAAACACGTCCTGTTTGAAAAAAAAAAAAAAATTGCGAAGGATACTGAAGCATCATCCAATACAAAAGAGTGCAGTAACAGTAAAGTTGAAAATATAAACAATACATCTGAATTACCTCGCACATGCTATCAGTTGAATCACAGCTCCAAACAGGCAATATGTACAGTTGAATGTGAGGCCTACCCATTTCCAACGAGATCCTAGTAGACCATCCAACACCTCAAACCACTGCAAAAAGTTCCACAGCAAGCATCTACAAACGTTTATGGTTTGAAAACAGGGTTGCTTTGGCGATGTGAATTCCTACATCAAAGACTTACTTCGATATCCGCAATTTCGAAAGTGTGGAGGTACTGGACTTAACTTGAATGATGTGGTTTTTGAAGTTGTGGCCCTCTCTCTCCTTGCGGATGCGGTACTCCATGTACAACCAAGAGATCATGTAGCAAGCCCAGCACCCAACGATTCCATAAAAGACTTGGAACGCGACTCCCGAGCCATATCCCAGTTGGGCGAAAGAAGTGGGCAATGTTAACAACACTTGAGCGACCTACAACGACATCCTCCACATTAGAAAAAGTGAACGTAAAGATTTTCACCGGTACATGATAGTGTGAACTTAGACTAAGAGGACCAGAATTTTCTGAAGGTTCGAGAAGGAAAACAAGCAAGAGAGAAAACAAGCTAGATAGATAGATAGATAGATAGATCGATAGATTGATAGCTAGGCTGCAGAAGGTCAACCTCTAGCAGCAAAGGCCCACATAACTGCAACCTGGGCTTCAGCTCCCGACGGGAGAACGCACCTTCTTCACTGACCAGAGTGCCAATTCACAATGTCTTTGGCTACGCAAAGGAAGGAAATACGTTTTGAAACCGGTACGATTACTGATCTTTGTCGTATTTCGTCATAAGTGAAAAGATAAGAACCTGATTGGAGGCAGCGCTAAACCACGCGTCGCCGACACTTCCCCCGTGCCACAGGAGACGATTGATCTTGCCCTTCATGGAGGGGTCCGGAATGTTTCGATCGCTCTCCAGCCTCTGGTTCTGCAACTCCATTTCGCTGTAGTTTCCAGCATGCGAGGGCGGCTTGTCCGTTACACTGTTTGCCATGGCGACCTCCCTTCGCAACACAAGCATCACAGACAACCACACATCTAGAAGTCATCGACTCTCCCTCACGATGACTAACCAACAAGCAACATCCCACGGTTTCCCAGAAACACGACTCATCCGCAACCAAGACCATCAACGCCACCGCAGTCCGTTAACGTTCAACAACTTCACCCGAATCTCAGCAACCCTCTCATCTGCATACGATTTTGGCGCACAGTCTTCTGACGACGCTCAGGTACTCACAAGCTCAGACCCTGACGGCATCACTCACAGCAGAGATCCTCGGACACAGAAGAGCAGCAGCAGCCAAAGCAACAACAATTGCTCATGCACTGAAGAGACAAGTACCTCGCAATTCTGAGGTGTTGCAGAGATCTGTTGCTTCGAACAAGGGACCCAACTGGTGCAGAATCTTTTCTACACGATCTCGTGCATCGTCCGTTTCAAGTGATGACTAGAAATTCAACGTCTGTCTGTTATAGTCTTCTATTACTCACTCGCTAGCCTGCCAGCAGGAGGATCTGCGACATGAGCACAAGTTTTCCTCTTCCTGCTACCGCTGCATTGCCTGGGATAACAATCTGCTACAGTGTCAACTTCTTGTGCTTCTTCTTCTTGTGCTTTTGCTGCTGCTCCTGTTGCTGATGATGCTCGAGGTAACCATCGTCTACGGCATCATCATCTGGTTGTGCTCGCCAGCAACAAGCTCATGTATTTGTATGCAGATTGGTGGGAGAAGGGTCTAAAGTGGTGGACTTTCACGTCGGGATTCATCATCGTCATGCTTTCATATTAATCAAAACAGAAAAATGCTGTTTTAGTTACAATTAGGTTGTAAAATTATAAGATTACCTTGTTTGTGTGTGTGTGTGTGTTTTTTTGTTATTTTTTTGTAGAAATATTTTAGTTGTTACATATCATGCCATTGTGTTGAATTCTGTACTTTTATTGAAAATATGAATGTATAAAATATGATATATTTCAATCAGTTATCACAATTAAACAGATCCTTGTTAAATAGGTTTCAGTTTTGTGCTTAATTTATTTTATTTTATTTTTTCTATATAGTACAGTGCTTTTAAAAACATTGAGAAAAGGAATGGCTCAAATTATTCACAAAATAACATTGAAGTGGTGCTTCTACTAAAGTTTTAAAATTCTATGGAAGGCATATTATCAGTCAAATGGTTTACAATATACTTTATATAAAAATCATAGACTTTGTTGAGCATAAACTTTGACCATGTTTGTTTATTAACAACATATTATTTAAATTGTAATTTTGACATATGAAATAAAACATAAAATAGTAGATAATCTCATCAAATAAACAAAAATTATTTCTATGTGTACATTTCTATGAGTAATCAAAATAACATTAATAAAAACTTTAATTTTAAAAAAAGTTAATATGACTATTGGATAAGAATTGGCTTTTGATCTATGTCACTTTTGGTACAACTTTTTTCACATCAACTGAAAAGTACAATTACTTTGTGTGTAGTTATTCAATATTTATTATATTCAAAAGTTAATGAATAATTGAGTCTTCATGGCCCAATGTTGGATTGTAAACATTTCTATCAACTTTGTTGCCAATGTCGGAAGTTCATGTAAAATGTACAAAATTACATTACTTTTTGGTTTATAATAAAACACAAGTTTCCTACATCATGAATAGCAACTTTATTTTACTTTAGGTTAAGATTGTGAACTAGAGTGTTGCTAGAGAATGTTTTGTTATCACTGTTTAGCTTCAAGGTGTCATTCTTAATAGAAAATGTTCAATTAAATTGTTATAAGATAAATCCTTGACTTCTTGTCTTTAAAGTTTGAATTTGAAGCAATGCAATAATTTGTAAATGGACCCCACATCATTCACCTTGTGCTGGTAATAAAAGCAACCTTCTGTTGGAAGAAAGACGCTTCTTCAAGCAATGTAATTGCATTTTATTTTACTGATTATACATATTTATTAGATTGATTATAATCATAATTATAATAGTATTCTTATTTATTAGATTGATTATAATCATAATTATAATAGTATTCTTATTTATTAGATTGATTATAATCATAATTATAATAGTATTCTTATTTATTAGATTGATTATAATCATAATTATAATAGTATTCTTATTTATTAGATTGATTTGACATAAAAAATTCAAAATATCAGTTGAATGTTTATATAACTTTAATCTACAGAGATATTTTTAAATTAATATTAAAGCTTACTCATATAATACCCAGTAAAATCATTTTTTGAATAAATTATATATAAATGTATTTTTTGTGAAAAAGAATACCATTAAGAGTGTGCTTAAATTAAAGCATTTACTAAAAAAATTGTATCCACATAGATGGGTATGAATGACTTATTATAAGTAAAAATAATTTAATCACAAAACATACTTAAAGTGTAGTTGTAAATATTTTATGTTTGAAGAAATGTATACTCTTTTAAATTCTATTAAAATTGTATCTTTTGAAATTGTTTTGCTAAAGACATGAAATAAAATAATAATAATAATAATAATAATAATAATAATAATACTAAACTTCAATTCTCATAAGCAATAATTAGTAACAATGCATAACAAAGAAAATCTGCACAAAATTATTTATTTATTTAAGTATTATTTTAAATATGGTTATCCCTTGTATTTACAAAAGTTGGCTTGTTAAAATTTACTTATACTTATATTAAGTTAAACTTAAAAAATAATATTTTCAAAAAAATAAAAATAAATAAAGCTTTGGCATAAATTAGCAGCTTCTTTTCTTGTGAGAAGATTAACAAAGCAAAGAACTATTGACACATTATTTTTATGCATGTCACTCCAAAGGAATTAGCTATTCAAACACATTTTGAAATGGAAACTTGAAGACAAGAATATAGTATTCTCATTTAAATATTTATTTTAGGGTATTGGTATATTTTTCATCGTAAAATTTTCAAACTTAATGACATGGCGCATAACGTGGCATTGAATGCATTAACACGGGCTATTTCCCATATTCAAACCGGACACGTCAGACCTGCGTCAGAGGCTCGATTTCTGATCTGCCTCTGACGTGGACGCGGGGCAAACGGCGGTTGCTGCGGCGGCGTAACGGTCTTTCACGACCTTGTGAACCACCCCTGGAACGATTGCCGTTACGCCCTACAACTGAATGTGGCAGGGAATTCGAAGTTGTTTGTGGGTTCGCTGTTTGATGGGCGATAGTTTCGTCGAAAATTTGGGTTTTGTTCGTTGAAGAGGGAAATCGAGAACCCATGGAGTGTCTGTTCGGATTCGTGGGGGATGGGTTTGCGCTGGTTGTCGCGGATACGTGCGCCAACCAGAGCATTGTGGTGCAGAAGACGACGGAGGACAAAATTACGTGCCTGGACTCGCACAAGCTTCTTGGTTGCATTGGTGAGAGCGGCGACAGGTGAGAGGCGACTGAATGGCCAATTCATTGCCAGTAGGTGCAAGATTTGCAAAAAGCCTTTGAGGGGAAGGAGTTGATTAGGACTTGGAGGTTTAATGCTGTGTGTTTGGTTTGACCCTGCAAGCACTGAATGAACTCATAGCGACACAAGAAGGAAACGCTGATCGTTTCTGTTGTGATTTTTTTATTGTTGCTGAGAGTGGTAACAAATAATACGGAGGATCGGGGTGGGGCAGGGTGCAGTTCTCTAATTTCATTCAGAAGAACATGAATTTGTACCACTTTCGGAATGGAATCCCCTTGTCGACATCCGCTGCTGCCAGTTTCACCCGCTGTGAGCTTGCCACAGCTTTAAGAAAGGTGTTTTGTTTTTGCCCACTAGGATGTTTGCAGGATGAGTGAATCTGTACCATAAATTACACAATTAATATGTACTTGAATCCACATCATTCAAATGTATTCATTGTTTAAGTATTCAAGTACATATGTGCATATCATTGTTTAATAGCAGACTTCCAGACATGGGAATTAGGATTTGAGTAGAGTTAGCGATTGTGCAGGCTCCATATCAGGTGAATATGATGATGGCTGGGTATGACAAACGTACTGGGCCTTGTCTGTTTTACTTAGATTACATTGCAACACTGCAAAAGCTGAACAAAGGTGCTCAGGGCTTTGGTGAGTGAATGCTCTCATTCCTATCCCCAAGTTCTCCATATGTGCTATGTTGAAATTGTGAGTTTTTTTATGCTGCAGGCATGTCAAAAAAGTTCTCTAGATTGTACTTATTTTCATGTATTCCCAGGACAATTCAATAAACAATTCCATGTGTTTTTGCAGGAGCATATTTCATACTTTCCCTGTTCGACAAGTATTACCAAAAGAATATGAATGTAGAGGAAGCGCTTCAGTTGGTAGACAAATGTATTTGGGAGATAGGAACAAGGATGGTTGCATCTCCAGCTAACTATGTAATCAAGATTGTGGACAGGAATGGTGCCAGGCTGTTGGCACGACGAGGTAGGCCTGAGCCTGCAGAAGAACAAGAGGATCTAATGCAATAACCAGCAATTTTAAACCAACTGCTACAATGAATTCAATGAACACTTCCGAGGTCACTTTCGCTCAAAGTATTAAGCATAGATCTAAAGACTGTTGGGTGAATGTTTGTTAATGATTATCTCAACATTTACAGGAAGAAATATGTCACCAAACTTGCCATATGCGAAGATATCTTAAAATAGTAAAGATTTCAAGTAATTGAAATGAGTCCCAGGCACATGATTGATCTTTTTCGTTCAACAAACCTCTTCGAAGGCACAAGGACAGCATTGTTTGTATTCTTTGCTGGCATTCAACGCTCCGCATAGAGCAGGAAGTCAAAAATCATGTTGTAACTAAATTGAAATTAAAATGTTGCATGTTTACAAATTATAGCAAATTTCTATGAAAAAAATAATTAATTAAAAGTTTGTCAAGTTAATTTCATAATTAGAATATTGTTAAAAATATTTAATAATAATACTTTTTTGGTTTTAAATGTTTGATATAAATAGACAAGCTATATATAAGGCAATGCTTTTGAAAGTCTATGATTTTTAATATTATTAATTTAAGAATCTATCAATTACAATTAGTATGTTACTTTGAAATTATTATTATTAAGTTCTATAATATATCATAGAATTTTTAAAGAAAAAAAATTAAAAAGATAAAAAAATAGAAATTATATCAAAGATAATAAAATAAAATAAGAAAGTATGTGTATTCAACAAAAAAACTAAAATGATAATTATCAAAGATAAAAATGCTAAAGACTAGATTGGAAATAAGAAAGATGTTGACAAGACTGAAGGATTCACTCTTGCCTCCATATATACTCTTTTAATATAAAGCTATATGGTGGAATTTTGTAGATCATTTAAGACATGTCTAACTTGCAAGACAAATTTTTAACATATGTACTACATGGTCAACTTATAAAATAAGTAGTTGACATGTGCAACACATGGTAAATTTGTTGGCTATTTTTTTAACCAATCAATCAACTATAACCACATATAAAGTCAAATTTACATCAATAAAGCTTCTAAGAAGCTAGTCATTGAGATGTTATCAAATTAATCTACTTTTACATACTTCTACTTAATTCCTCTTATTCTACTATTTATAAATATAAATATTGATGTTTTTAATATTAATACTTCTTATAGGAATAATTTCTAAAAAAAATAATAATTAAATATTGAGGACATTGAAATGGAGTAAATTATATTATCTTAGATCTAAAATTCTTTGTATTGGATCTTATATTTAATCTTGGTTGCTAAAATATTTCTTAAATAAAAACTAAAAGATATTTTTTTTATTTCTTCCTATTAATAATAACATTGTATTCTAGGAAAAATTTGAAACATTATTTTTATAAAAAAATGGTTTAAAAAATATAATTTAATACATAAATAATGCTAGTATAAATGTAATCTTTAAAAATTCAAAAATTATTTTGGCTTTTTTGTTCTATTCAAGCTTGTCTTTACAAATCAAGCATATAAATAGAGCTTTGGCCTAAAAAATTCTTAATAAAGATCTAATAATAGTTAATAAATTTTAAAAAATATCAAAGGACTTTTTATTGTTCTTGGAGTTTTTCAATCCATAATAGTCTAAAATTTTTTAAGATCCATCAAAAGGCCATGATTTGAATTAATATATTCTAAATAATCAATTTAAGTGTGTAAAATATACATTTTTTTTATCTTGGTGTATAGTTTTATACTTCTAAGTTTTTGTAAAACATAAAAAAAACATGATATTCATATTTGTATGTATTCTTAAAATAGTTCAAAATATCATTTAAATAATAAATAATAAAATCATCTAAAAATTCTTAAAAAAACATCATTCATTTAGGTGTTGAAAAAAATTTAGAGCATTTGTAAATTCAAAAGACATAGCATTATATTCCAAATAGCTATAACTTATTCAAATCATAGTCTATCATTCATTTTATTTTTTGTATATATCAAATTATATGTTTTTATAGATCCATTTTGATATAGATCTACTCTTGATGAAATTGATTGAATAGTGGTAATATTAAAAATAGAGGATAATTATTCTTAATGATAATCTTCTTAAGTTATTGATATTCCATATACGTCTGTAATAATATGTCATTTTTCTTTACAAATAAGACAAAAGATCTTATAAGAGATTTTGAATGGTATATAAAATTCTTAACTTAGTTCTTGAAAATACATTCTTTAAATGAAACCAACTCATTTTGTAATAAGTTATAGATTGATACAAATGGAGGTTGTGTTCTTTTTTAAAAATCAACTAAGTAATCGTAAAGATAATGATTTGAAAGTATATTTTCATTTTTCTTTTCAAACATGTTTTAATAATTATTACATTAGATTGCAATGTTGCTTGAAGTCTTTTTATTATTAAAATAAATATAATATATAATAAACAAAGCTTCTTCTTTTATAGCATACATAAAAGCCTTACTCATAGAAATAAAGATTTTGTTGTATTAGAATTATGATCCAATTTTTAAATAAAAAAAGTTTTAGTTAAACTAAAAAAAAATAAAGATTACAAGAAATCAAGTCTATTAAAGAGTTATATTTTTTTAGCCACAATAAACTTAAAATGATTATGTTAGAATAAGAACTAATGATATTAAATTATTATGATCATTTTTTGTTATATCTATAGAAATGGTTTTATAGGTAACCTCTCAAAAAGATAAAAGACAATCATCTATAACTTTATATATACAAGTTTAGTTTCTTTACTAAAAATATATTATATCTTTTAATAAAGCCTTCATTTAAAGAAAATTGAGGCTCTTGAATCTAATAAGATAAAAGCTTTGTAAATTTTAGATCTTAAGTAAACATCTATTATAAAACGAGAAGATTTTTCAAAAAAAAAATACAACTTTCACTGATTGTTGCTTAAGTTTTTAGCTACATAGTTTCTATTGTTGTTAGAAAAACTTGTTTTCCAATACATTATCTTTTTTAATAGTCATGCTTCTCATTCTAAGGTTGTTTTGCTTCTTTGAATAATTTTAACTAATATGCTTAAGTTCTCTACAATTTAAGTACAATTTTTCTTTATAATGTTAAGATTTTTCTTGCTTAGTGATAAATTTAGAACATATTGTATCAATTTGTATATTTTCCACTTTTAAAATTATGTGTTGAAAAGATATTGGTATTATCATAGAATTGTATAAATATTGAAACACATTTGTGTGAATTTTAGATTAAAATTTAATCTATAAAAAAATACTAATTAATAAATACATCATCATCCTACTTGATATCAACCATAAGTTGTCAAAACTATAAAACATATGATGGTATTAAATAATTTCTTTAATATAAAATAAAAATCTTATTGGTCTCAATACAAATTACATCATATTTTCTATATATAGAATATAGCTTTGCTAAAAAATCTTTAAATTATTTAATATTAGATTGTATTATTTAAAAAAAGATGAGAACCATAATATATTAAAATCCAAAAGCAATGTTGCAAAAAACTTGTAATATAAGAGTTGGATAACTTTGAGATTGAAGCTTAATTATCAATTATACTTGATTAATAAATCTTCAAAATTTTGATCTTATATTATCATAATTTCAAGGCAAAACAACTCTTGATTCTCTAACACTTATGGTGGTATAAGAAGTAATATGGTTTGGTGCAAATGTTGAGGTAGCTCGAACCATCTCTATATCTCCAATTCTAACCAATCTTATTGCTCTTTCTGGTGATAAATCGAATTAATACATTACAAACATTAATTCTCTCATTTATTCATGCATTTGTGCTATCATATCTTAATTTCAATAAGCTTTGTAATAATAATACAATGAAAAAAGAAGATATCTAATTTCACTTGAGATAAGTGATAAAAAAAAGAGTAAAAAGTGAAAGAAATTTTATGAATCATATCAATTAAAAAGTAAAGAATCTGCAACTTCTAATATAATTGTATTTTATGAAGAAAAAAAGATAATTTACTTTTAATTAAGAAATACAAAGATTTGATATTATAAATGAAAGCTTTTCAATCTACAACAAAAGAGTGCCAAAACACATAAGTAGAATATGATATGTGTTAAAGAGAGATGTTCAAAAAAATTAAAAATTAATATATATATATATATATATATATATAAGAAATAATCTTTACTAAGTTTTGTATGGTTTCAATATTATTATTAGTATTATATTTTTAGGATGTTGCTAATGCCACAACAATTTTTATTACTACCACCAAAGTTTTCTATTCATTCCATGTCACCATAATTCTTGCTATTGCCACCACAATCCACTACACATTCAATAACTTTCTTTAATTTTTTTGTTCTAATCTAAAATTAGATAATATGTTTAATGTATGTTGTTTTTTCAAGTTGTATTAGAAATAGCTAAAAATTCAATAAGGATGAATTATAGTGGTAGTAGCAAAAATTGCGGTGACATTAGCAACACCATGTGTTAAAGACCTATCAAGCAAGTATGCATTGTAAGTATACATAGCAAGTATATTGTGATATCACCTCAGTGGTATGTGCTAGAGATTTGGAGAACAACAAAGGAGTGCCAAAACACATAAGTAGCATTTGAATAATTAATCAACATAAATGTACAAAATTATTTTACTCACGACGTCACCTGTTCCATGGCGGCTATGAAACTTCAACTCAATTTTGAAAAATTCAAAAGTACTTGAGATGGGGGGTATCGGGAGAATCGAACTCCCGACCTCTTGCACCCTAAGCAAGAATCATACCACTAGACCAGATACCCGAGTGGAGAGGAACAATCCACTAAATGACCGCGAAAGTGGTGTTGATTGTATTATTTTTTTACAAAATATTAGGACACACCACGAAAAGTAAACCTCATCCTTGGCAGCTAGAAGTCTTGCAGCCGTAGGAAATCCGCATCCATGAAACAGCTGCATACTGTTGAACTCCAAACCTGTATTTCTGCCTCAAAAATCTGGACTCCCATCAATGGCTTATTCATCGTGGAAGCCCTAATTCAAATTCTTGTCTCGAAACTGTAGTCAAAATCAATCTAGCTGCAGAACATGGCACTTGTTGATGTCGCTAATCATTGGCGGTGTGAGATATTGAGCACGCAATTCTGTGCCTAGTTCTGCTGCAGGGCATTGAGGCTCGAGTCAATTGGGTAATGAGATCGTTCTTGTGTGAATAGTGGTGTGGGTTAAATCGCCTCGCTGTAATTGTGACAAGGGGATATTGAATCAAAAGTGAGTAACACTCCTAGTGACACCGTTACTACATTTAAGGTTGCTAGTTTCTACTCACAGGACTTTCCATGGGATATTGTACACTGGATTTCCTGGAGTTGAGCCAAACCGCCGCAGGCTGACTTAGATTTGGAGCTGTAAGACCCATATGTTTTGGCATCAGGGGAGGCATCATCAAGATATATTATACGCCAACTGGAGACGCTGTGCCATCTGTTGGTTCCGTATCATGCAAGGGTTTGTGCGTTGTTGTCCTCGTTGTCAGATTTCCTCTCTCCATATTATTGTGGTGACTGGATTGAGCTCCGTGATGATCGGG